AAACGTCAGCCTTCCTGCTCCTATGATGCTGCTTGGCCTGCTGTGTTCATCCAGCTCTGCACCTTGTTGTCTCGGATTCTCCAGCATCTGCAGTTCCTACTATCTCTGATTCAAGTTTGCCTTATACTTTTTTTTTAATCTCTCATTTTGTTATGTTGGGTATTTGCTGCTACTACTGTGGGCAACATATAGTCTGTAGTAATATCCTAAAACAAACATGAGATCATGTGTTTATTCTCCTTTACGTTCAATGACTTGCACATCCTTCTCAATTGGTTTCTGTCACAGTATTGTTAAAATATCCAGCTTGCCTAGTTGGATAACAGGAAGATCTATCTATACGAATTATTTAATATTAAATATTGTTATGCTTCTGAACACTAATATTTTTGCAGTTTTGATCTTAGTAGCAAGGGAAATATTTATAAGTTTAACTAGTAACTTGATAAAGTAGTGAAACTTTAATTAATAGTTAAACCTGTTTTAAACTGCAGGATGTACTCACTCTGCATCTTTTAAATGTTTGTATTCATAATTGTTTCCATGCTTTTTCTGTGTAAACTGTTCAGTGTATACTCCAAGAAAGCATGTTAAAGATGCTGACATAATTGGATAATCAATTATGATGCAGTTTCATTCCGATTCTAGATACAAAACCTGAAGTAAATTTCACTTTTATTTTAAATATTTCAGCAAAAACTGATATTTTCTACTGACCCACTGGAAGTTTTTCTTTTGTATTTCAACTAACGTGTGTTTATTTAGGATGACATCTCCCTTGTCAGCGAAGCTATACTCTTGAGTATTTTGCTGAAGCGAGAAGGGCCTAATTTCATTACAGCAGAAGGTGAGTTTATTACATCGTCTAAGAGTGATGAAAATTTTTGCTACATTGTAGTTTCCATTACTTAACAAATTAATACATATTTAAAAAATCTAAATCTTAACTCTTTTCTTAAGTTTAAGTATTAATCCTAAAACTGTAGGCAAAAACCCAACTACTGCAAGGACTGCTTGGCTATCAGGTGCAGTGTTGATTTTTATTAGGAGCCATCTGGGAGGACTGGGAAAGAACCCATCGTGTGGCAGTACTGAAGAGAGAGTGTTCGTCCAGAACATGGAGGAAACATTGTTGGCAGGGAATCCAATAAACACTTGAGAATGTTTTTTGAATGAGAAGCAGCATTCAAAACAAAATCAAAAATTCAACAAGGTGGGCATTTTAAGTAGATGGGATGATCAGGAGCCAGGAAATTAATCCTTTTTATGGAAATTTTGCTGTCATGTTAATTTAAGCTTCAATTACTGCAGCTTTCAAATTCTAAAAACGACAAATGCAGCACAATTCTGTAGTTTGAAACTGAGGAAGGCTACATATTGCAGTCACTTCCATGAAAAACAGTTTTTTTTTTAAACTTCCAGTCACCATACCATCTTTGTCTATAGTGTTGAAAAACATTATACTTGGAATCTTAAAGGCATTGCTCTATCCAGTGAAACATATAAACATTGATGAGGTGATTTGTTATTTAATTAAGCTTCCAGATGTATGCCACTCTAAAGCTGTTGATATTTTTATTGTTTTAGCAGGCAAATTGTAGATTGTATTCAATTTTTAAAAATGTATAACTCAAAAATCTGCTCGATTGCATGATAATTTACTTAGTCTCTCTTGTTAGGTATTCCACAGATATAATTCCTGCAGTTTGCACACATTTATGTAACATATGCCTGCAGAAGCAATTGGAATAAAATATTATGAATAGACCAAATGTCCAATGTAAATGACGCTCAGGCTTGCAGCAGGCAGCTTATAATAAACATTCCTTTGAAAAACACCATGTTTGATACATACAAGGAGACTTGTCCCTCTCTTCCACAGGACACATAGACATCCAGACTCTAATTTTGGAAAATACTGTCGGGACACTGTGGCTCTGCTGTGTTTTATAAGTTATGTTTCTTCTTTCACTTTGATTTATATAGTGCTCCTAAAATAGAAGAATCTAGGTACTCCCCAGATTAAAAAAAAAGGATAACAAGCCTTCAGTGGAGAGTTAGGAGAGGAAACTGAAGTTTGTTCCTAGAGTAGGATTTTAAGGGAGACATAAAGAATGCAGACTGAAATACATGATTTGAGAATGAGATACCTAAACACACTTTTCACTAATAGAGCATCATCAGAATGCAAAAACTGTTGTGGTTCATATATGTCTCCATGTTGAAGAACTGTATAGTTTTCTGATTTACTCCTTGATATTTTGCTCTAACAGATGGTTCATGCACTACGGAAATAACAATGATACAGTTTTCTGAAAGGTCATGCTGATTTGCACTTGTCTTACACTCAATTACTAGTCGAATTTGTCAAAATATTGAATTCACACCAGTTGTGAGGGTAAAGTCAGTAAAACACCCAGTTACAAATCAGACAGCAAAATGAAGCACCAAAAGAATTTGACAAAATTTTTTAAAGTTTTTTTTTATAATGAACAGTATCATCAGGAATTAATTTTTCTTTTGCATTGTGGTCAAATTCATTCTTGAAAATCACAGATGCTGGGATTTTTTAAAAATCTTTTTCTGACCTTTGTAGTCTTGATGTTGTTTAGCTGTGAATGTCAATGAACAAAGACCATCATTCTATTGGTTTTGAAGTCCGTCATGCTGCTCAGTCACAGAATTTAGGTTAAACTAGAGAATTGTAGCAACACTGCAGCTTTTAACCTTTAAAATCCTTTGATGTACAGTTATCAGTCAATACAGCAAAATTAACATTCACAGATACAAAAGGATGCGTTATTAAAAAGACAGATGTATAATTTGGAGCACAGTATGGGATTATACAATACAATTAGATGCATATCAGTGAGAGGTGAAACCTAACGCTGTTAAAACACAGTTCTGTTTCCATGGCTTCATTATTGTACAAAAGACCAGCAGGGAGGAAAAATTCCGAAAGAAAATCACTCTTGTTATTGTTAGAGCAACAGTAGTTTTCTGTAAACTGTTCACATAAAATTTATTTCAAACCAATAGTTTTTGTGTTGAGGAAAAAGATTTGCTCCACAATACTTGCATATAGCTGATTATAGCTATGAATTGAAAACACGTCTTTATCATGTTTACTTCTTCAAGACAATCTGGTGTTTCGTTGTTTTCAATGCTTTCAAATATATTTATCATGTTGTATGAGATATTAACCCAGAAAATGCTGGAATAGTTCAACCCACAGCAAACAAAATGGGATTTGATGTTTTCCTCAGCTTTCAATTTGTTTTTAATTACAATTTGCTTGAAATAGAAATCGATAATGGTCCGATGACTTCAGTGACACATTTGGAACTTTCTGTAACCAATAGTCTATCGCTTTAACAAAATGGTTTAGGGATACAGAAAGAAATAGAGGAACAACAGAAAAGAAACCAGGTGAATTATGGTTAAATTGGATACAAATTCAGAAAGAGAGTGGATTAAAAGAGGAAAAGCAAGACAGACAAGAAAGTTAAAAATTTGTGAAAATCTCTAGGAATATTTCACCACCTGCTGGAATGAGACTCTATGTTTTCATTGTTTCTTTCCTAAACCTCCACAAATGAGGGTCAGGATCATAAACCATGTCATTATCAGGGTTGTTTGAACACAGGTTAGCAGCCCTGAATGGCCATAATGAGATAAATTTATTTCATTAATGTAAATTATTTCTTATCATTACAAACAGCTAGGTCATTCAACGCTTGAGGGTAACTTTTTATATTTTGGCGAAGGTAACATTGAGCAATTTGAGGCAACTTGAAACTCAAATCATACCACAAATTGCTGTTTTTTTAAACACAATAATACATTAGGAACTGGGAGCTCATCTTTTGCCCAGCAATTTCTAGGTCTTTTTTACATAAGCTCTGAGTAACAGCAGTAATGCTATTAAAAATGTCTGAAGGTCTTTGCAATAATGTACAAATTGTACAAGCCAAAGTTATGCACTTTCATGTTGGCACATTGAAAAGACTTCATATAGTAGTTTCAGGAAGTGTAAGGAGTTCTTCTAATTGTTCAGAATTGTTCAGAAGAACATTAAGTTCTGATGTCTGATCAACATTCAAGTAATTGAGTTTCATTACACAAACCCTTTTGAGGAGAACTTAGATCAGCACACCAGGAAAGAAATAGAAGGATGTGGTTATATGGATTTATTTATGGAACATACACAAAAGCATAGACCGATTGAGCCAAATTGCTTTTTTCTATGCTATAGACTGTGTTGGCTAAATCTTACATTTTCTTGGCTAATACATCGAGTTTTTTTGGAGGACTTTTTCGCCGCAAGTGTAGCAAGATCTCTTGCTGCGTGTTAGCAAACCCGCCTCATTAAATACCTTTCCCGGCCCATGGCATCCCTCTATTCCAGTTCTAGCCTCATTTCACCATGTGTTGTACCAGGAACAACTCACCACTGCTGGATATTATTTTCCACTCTGTCGGCTTAAGTGCCACTATTTCTCTCTGATACATCTTACTCAGACTATCTCTGCTAATGTACCGACCTCCCACAAGACTCAAACTCACAAGTGCCTGCAGCCTCTTCACTCACGTGCTGTCAGCCCCCAACACCACTCACCCTAAATGTCCTCTGTGCTACGTACTCACTCAGCACACCTCCCCATCTGTATCAAAAGTAACAGCCATGCCACCCACTTCCATCTCCCTTAGTACCTGTCTCTGCCTCATTCCAGGAGGATAATAGCCCACACTTAGGCAGAAAGCGTCAAGACAGCTAGTGGGCTCCACAACATCTGGCTTCTCACCCATCATGTGGAGAGAGTCCTGACTCTGACCATTCTGAGTGTCTAACTGACTGATATTGGAGCCTGCCTTTGACTTACTGTATGGGAAGCACCTGACCATAGGCTACCTTCCTTGACCAGGGAACTGCTCACAACCATGACAAACTTTCTAGATTTGTGTCTCCGACTCCTATCTCAATACAGCAATCGTGTGAGCTTGGTAACTTAGCCTGAGAGGACATGGCACGGAAAAGCAAGGCAAAGCAGGGATGCTTTGAGCATTCAGGGAGGAACAGAGTGAGTGAGTGCTTTGACAGCAAGTAAAGAGTCTGGTGATGTAGCCTAGTGCAGTCCATGAGCTGAGTGCATGTCCCTAGGTACGCAGTGTCCTTTGCTGCAGCATTACTGTGATAGTTGTCAGTGCAGCATTGAAGTGCAGAAGCTTACTGTAAGTGCATCAGAGATGTTCCTGAGGATTCTTGGAGGCTGGCATATGTCTGTGGACATGAGGTCCCTGTGGCCAATGGCCATGAACGTGCCCCGAGATGTTGGGTCCATTTCTAACATCGAGGTCCTTTTGGAGTAAGCAGTGCGGTGAAACCAGGTCTGACATCCATGTTGAGAATTCTCGGCCTCTAATTTTATTTGTGCAGTTCGTAAAATAGGAAGCTGCATATTAATGAGGCTCAATGTGCCATTAATAGGGTAGTTAACAAGTAATAATCCCTCTTAATAGGTAACTCATGCTGTCTAGTGCAAAACTCACCTCAAAGTCCGGCAGATGCATTTTAAATGCACTGAGTTGCTGCCAACATAAAGATAAGCTTTGCCAAACTTCTCATGCAATTCTACCTGAATTCTCAACATAGCCCAAGTCATTAAGGCCCCTATAAGATTCTGCCCACTGTGACCTGTACAGCAAAAAAAATTGATAAATTAATTATATCTTTCAATACTGTTAGTGTGCATTTGATCCTTTAAAGTGGCTGCCATGTTTACTAAGGTAGGAACTTTGACTATACTTTCAACATATTTTAGAAACGACTGTTATTTTAATTGTTTTTGTTAAGATAGAATTTAAGTAGAAGTTCTGTGATTGTGCTCTGAGGGTAGTAGAGATAATATGCACTGCCCCTTGTGCTGAAATCACAAAGACATTAGGAATGCTATGTTTATTCTTCCTTTTAAAACTATTGATTTAACTATGGAAGCTTCTTGTGCTTGTAATTTACTTGTACTTGGCATATATTCGGCATTGTTGCTCACTATAGGCGATCACTTATTTTTGTTTTAGTCCTGTGTGATTAGCCTTAAAACTAAATACAGTTATCTATACTTAAACTGGTTTGCAGTTTAATCAGTATTTCAGCATAAATTAATTATTATTATCAAGCTTTCACATTTACAATAACTGTCAATACATATAGCTGTTGGTAAGATTCATGTAATCTACCAATCCAACCATTTATGTGATCTGCACACCTGTAGAAACATATTGGTACTAGGGGTTTACCAATGTACAATTCTTTTATTCTTTATTATATTTTAATGGATGAAAAATAATTTTCTAACTTTGTTCTACATTTGCACTTCCACATATATGCAAGACTGTGCTGAGTTCAAAGTTATTTTATGTAGAAATTACTTAATTGTAGAAAGTTCCTGAAGCATTGCATCTGAATTCCAAATTGGTTTTGCTTTCAGCAGTTTTGATTTTAATCCTTTAACTTATCTAAGTTTTTTTTTCCACTTTAAACAGTGCATCCTATTAAAAATGGTGTTCTGTTTTCAGGGACTGTTATGGATCGTTTGGAAAGAGTTTATCAACGTTCAGGCAGAAAGAAACACTGGTCTGTATAGTGCTGTTTGTTTTGCTCTATTTCTCTCTGTACTATTGTGTGTCAAATTTCCATGATTGACATTTCAGATATTTAAAATAAGAATGCTTATTGTATTATTTGAATTTTGGAACCTACAGTGTAGACAGATCAATCAAAGAGGCAAATCTATGCTGGAATTAATTATATACTACAGCACCATTAATCTGGAACTATATATTGCTTAACCCACTTTCTTTTCCAATACTAGTTTATATTAGTCCTTGTCAAATACTTATCCATTTCACTTTTAAGTTTCTGTGCCTGTAACCAGTTGTGATAAAGCAGACAGTGTTTTAATAATACATGTGAAAAACATTCCTTTCTAATCATTCTCCTTTATTTTTCTTGTGAATTTTTTGTGTCAGCAGCAAAATCAATTTCAGTGCCTAAAAGTTTGCTTGTGACTGATGTTAGACCAACTGATCTTTGATTACCCAGTTTCTTTCACTCTTTTTGTTAAAGGGAGGTGTTGGGGAAGATTTACGCCAGTGTCAGTATGTTCATATACAAAGCACATTTAATGAACTATCTATTCAGTGCACTCCCCTTATCTTCTTTCAGCAGTTTTTGTCATCTTGAGTTTTACTATTTTTTTTTCGGAATCAACGTCTTGTCCACAATTAACTTTTTATCAACTTCCTTGACTACCTATATTCTTCCATCATTATTTATAAACCCCAGCGCAAAATCTCCACCACACTGTTATTCTCCACAATTAGATACCCTGCATCCTAAGTAGTCTAATCTTTTTGATTCATAGAAATTTATAGTACATAAGGCCAGTCTTGCTTCATCCTACGCACTTTCCTCTTGTCCACAGCCTGTAAGATCCTCAACTTCAAATGCCTATCCAACTATATTTGATAATTACTTATGGAATCAGCTTCCACCATTTTTCAGCTAGACTGTTCCAGACCCTAAAAACTTTAATTGCCTCTCAAGATATACTGCCAGTAGTTTTAAGTCTAAGACTTCTAGTTATTGTACCACTAATTACAAGAAATGATTCTTCCCTATTTTGTCTTTTAAAGCCTCTCAGAATTTTAAAAACATCGTTTAAGTCACATCTTTATTTTTTCTATTCCCTAACAATGGTCATTATCTTTCCACCCTCTCATCTTTATTTTTGGTAGTAGCTTGTAAATCTCTTTCATCCCCTTTTTAATGCTCTTTATGTCTTTCCTTAAATATCTCCCAAATTATCCTCCAGCTTTTATAACGGTGGTCTGTTCACCTAAGTCATTTATGAAAATTGGAAAGCGTAATGGACCCAAGCTGGCACTTGAACAGCAACACTGCCCCTGCCTTCAACTATATGTTTGTTTTTTATAAACTTGTGTAAGTCTTTTTTTTTCCCTTTTATATTGACTTTTAGCTTTCTTTAAAAGTTCTCTTTTAACGCTTCCATTCTCCCTTTTTACTTCCTCATTTTTTTCATATTCGTATATTCCTGATTATCTTCAAAATGTCATTTCAACTGCACCTATATCCAGATTATTTACATATGTGGAACCTAAGGAGCCTCAGTACAGATCGCTGGTGTGCGCAACTGCCCAGGGCTTTATAATCATAAAGACATACGTTATCACTAACTTTCTGTGCCTTAGTCATTTCTGTAGCTACTTTAATACATGTACCTTATTTTTCTATGACAGTTTTTTTACACTGGTATTATCAAATAGCTTCTGACATAAAGATAACATTCCTTACATGATTTGTTTTTATCAATGTACTAGATTTTCTCAAAAAGTGATAAAATAAACCTGCCTTTTACAAGCCATATTAACTCTCCCTGATTTGGTCACACTTTTCTAAATGCTCATTAATCTTATGCACAACCTATGGATGTTTATCCACAAATGAGGGCAGATTTGCCTGTGATTTCCTGTCTATCCCACTCCACTTTCTTGAAACATAGCATTTGCTACCCTAGAGTATACAGTAATTCTCATTTCTAGAATTTTTTAGAGAGGTTTGGAATACTCAGTATCTGAGAATGGTAACATTTGTAGTTTCACTCCCATTAACTTTTTTTTTAAAACATATATTTGTTTTGAATACTTTTTCTCATCCTTATTCCAGTCTCACTTTCAGCTTCCTTAAAAATGAAAGTAAAATGCGTAGCAAACATCCTCACTTTTTTCCATCTTGGGTATAAGGTGACTCCTTTGTCTCTAAATGGTCACATCTCTTTAACCGTCTTCAGTATTTTTGCTTATAAAATCTCTCACATTGCAACTGACTCTGCCCGTTTACATTTAGATAGTATTTGCATTGTTTTCTTTTTAAAGTTCTTTTAAAGTTTGATAAAGACTTCAGAAATGAATGTCCAGATTTTCTGCTGAAAACAGTTTTGGGATTTTAAGTAAAATCAAAATATAACTGTTCATCAAAGATTTCCGTTGTGTTTTTTGAGCTGCTGATTATTGACCCTCATATTTGGTAAAGGAACTTGTGCCCTTGATAAAAAGTCAAATGAAATCTAGAGGATGCTTGGGTCTAATAATACGGAGCTTATGGTTCGATAACCTTAAGGAAAATCATTTTTTGTTGCATACAAGTTTGATCAAGTTCAAGAAATACTTTAGGTAGAATAGAGGCATCAGATGGAAAGCACCTGTCTTAAGTATGGTTTAGGAATGTCTGTGCATCAATACTGTGGAGACTGCTGACAGGATTTCTCCAATTGATTGTCTTCAAATCTCACCTCTGTACCTGACAACTAGTGGTTAATGCCAGGGAACATTTTGACCACTTCTTTCAACTTGGTTATAGATCTGATAGTTAGTGTTGCATTTATGTGCAAGTGCAGTTAAGCAGCAGACCAATTTGGCACATCAGCAGAAGTAACAGTGGTAAATGCTGTTTGAGAAAACTTGACCAGACATTGTGAGGAAACAAGCATTCACTTTCAGAGCTGAAATCAGAACTTCAAATTGGTTAATCTTCTATTTTTGAAGGTGGTATGGGAAGAGTATTTGTTCCCTTCATTATAACATATCATTAAGTATTGACTGTAATTCCTAATTTGTTTAGCTATGTCTTATATATATGTTGGTCTTTTTACAAATATTGCTTTATTTCCTGACAAAATGATATGGTGTTACATTGAAATGGTTTCACTTTATAAATTGTAGACTTTGCAGTATGTTTAGAAATCTGATTGACTTTCTTTACAATTCCTATGACCTTTATATAATCATTGTGCAATATATTTAGGTTGGCTGTACGTTACAGTGCTGCACTTTTAGAGCTGATTGCTGCCACTATTGCCCCACATATTACCACAATGCTGGTACATGGGAAGCAGGTAATTAGGACAGCATTTGTGAGATTTGGTATCATCTTCAGTGTGTCATAGTTCCACCCAAATCTTTTTTAATGAATGCCTTGCACTGTATAATTGTGTGCTAATGCTTTACTAGCAACCACCAGAGATAATGTCCATTCTCTTCACTTAAATGATTTCTTACTACTTTTGTGCTAGATTTGCAGCATGTGTTTGATTAATTTAACTGAACAGCTAGTTATGCTTTTTTCTGAGCAAACAAAGCATTTCATTTAATAACTTTCTTAATTTAAGTGCTTATCAATTACATATTTTCTTAATTATGCCTAGCTGCATCCATTGTGATTCTCATGTTTTTGACTTGCATATTTATCAGCTGTGCTTGTTAAAACATTTTTCACTAACTCCTTGTTGTACTCCATCAAATCCTCAATGCTTGTTCCATTAGCATTCCCACATCTCAATTTTCAGAAAGTACAAGTTGACATTTTGACACAAAGCATACTCTTTACACTTCTCTTAAAACTATTATTGTATGTAGTTCATGACAAACATCTAGATTTGACTTTCTACCAATGTTATGTAAAACAAAGAGCATTATTGAGTTTTTGGACAAAGATAAAATGTATTTATTCTAACCTATATAAGATTTTGTTCACTTATCTGAGCATAGTACATGGTTCATTATTTTTACTTTTGCTAATTATTTTTTAATTTTTTTGTTGCTGTGTGCTTTCATTTAATTTTACTTTAAAACCCATGCTACTGCCTCCCATTAATAAACTTTCATTTTCTTAAACTTGGAATCTTAGAGACTGTCCTCTGATTAATGACACACAAGACATACAAAGCACATGCTGAGGTCTGTCTCCATAACTAGTATTTCCTGAAACAGGTCATTAGCATGTCTCCAGAGGTGACAGCTTGAGAGCTGCCACTCCACATCACATATGGCTGACTAGGAAACTTTCCCACTCCGTCCACCTGCAATAGGAAATTGGAAGGGTTTAGAAGTTTGTTTAACCTGTTTAGCCACATTATAAATGCACCTTTCATGGCTATCAAATCCTGAAGTGAAACTCAAACCCTTCCGTTTTAGTCCAGAGTCAGGACACTGCCCACTGTGCTACAAGACCTTCCCCCCTCCATAGAGCCAGGGATGACAAATATATGTTAACTGAGCAGTTCCATCCAGTCTCTGGTAGGCCAAGTATCAGGGAATGTTTCTTACAGTTTAGGAGATTAGTGCATCAAATTTGATATCACTCCGGTGTTATTCCAACAATCTGTGGCATCAGCACGCCTTCCACATGGCATAGCAATGCAGACTGCACACCTCAGAAGGGAACAGAAATGGGTCCTATGTGTGGCAAGGAGAGAGAGAGAGACATACACAATGTGAGTTTGGACTGGATGAACAGAGGCTGTGGGGTGCAAGTTTGAGATTGGGGAAGGTATCAGACTGGGACTTGGTGGTGGGGTGTGTTTTGGCACACTGGGATTCAGTAAGGAGTCTAGCATATTGGGATAATGAGGAGACTGCAAATTGTGGCTTGGATGTGCACTGGCAGGTTTTGATAAGGGGGCTGGGCAGCTATCAGTTTGGGACTTAGGACAGAGAAGCAGCAGATTGGTACAAAGGCAAACAGATTGAGACTCAGTTAGTGAAACAGATTTGGGA